CTCTATCCCAGTATCCCACACGAAGATGGTCTGCGAGCACTTCACACCAAGCTAGAGGAACGTGAAGATAAAACAGTGTCATCAGAAAGCCTTATTAGTTTAGCGGAATTTGCCCTTAAAAATAATTATTTTGAATTTAATTCAGATGTTTATCGTCAAATTTCTGGGACAGCCATGGGCACAAAATTTGCTCCTCCGTATGCATGCATTTTTATGGATATGGTGGAGACTGAGTTTTTAGAACAACAAGAAATAAAACCTTGGGTGTGGTTACGGTATATTGATGACATCTTTTTTGTCTGGTTAGAAGGTGAAGATAAACTGTTGCAGTTTATGGAAAAACTTAATACGTTCTATCCTGGCTTGAAATTTACATACGAGTACTCGCAGACTAAAGTGAATTTTCTTGATGTTTCGGTGGGAATTGATGCTGGTAGATTTATTACAAGTCTTTTTTGTAAGCCAACTGATTGCCATCAATATCTACATTATGAGTCATCACACCCTGCGCACGTTAAAAGATCTATCGTATATAGTCAGGGTTTGCGCATCAAGAAAATTTGCTCGCGTGAAGAGGATTTTGAGAAACACTTACAAGAACTGTCTAGTTGGCTTAAAAATAGAGCATATCCAACATGGCTCATAGAAAGAGAATTTAAGAGGGTCAGGGAATACAATATTGAAGCGGAAAATAATAATATACTTAGAGAAAAAAGTTGTAAGACAGGAGTGCCTTTAACTATAGCTTTCCATCCTTTGTTAAAGCACTTTGGTTTAGTAATTAAGAAAAATTTGCATATTTTGTACTTAGACACTGAAGCTCGTAAAGTATTTACCCCTGAACCATTTACGGCGTTTAGAACAAGCCGTAATTTAAGAAGTTACTTAGTGAGAGCTAAGGTACCACCATTAGTAAGAGAGAAAGGATGTAAGAAATGTAATAAACCCAGGTGCTTGACGTGTCAAAATATTCACGAAACCGACACTTTTAGGTGCACAGCTGATGGTAAACAATACAAAGTGAACCATCATTTAAACTGTGACTCAAAGTGTGTGGTTTATCTTTTGACATGTAAAGTGTGTAAGAAGCAATATGTTGGTCAGACGACAGATAAATTCCGCTTTCGATGGAACAATTATAAATCTTGTCAAAGGAAAGCAATGTCCAACAAAGCTCATACACAAGCCTTTTTTCATTCGCATTTCTTAGGTGAAAACCATAATGGCTTAATGAATGACTGTGATATAGTCATAATTGATAAAACCAACCCAGCAGAACCAACGATTAGGGAAATGTACTGGATTAATAGACTTATGACAATGTACCCCTCGGGGTTGAATATTGAACAGGATTCTGAGGAGTATGAATAATTATGTTCGTCTGGTAGGGTATATAAGTAGGGGTTTATGTTAACGATTTTTACTTGGAAGAAGACAATAAAGTCGAAACGTCAAAAAATATGTGTTAGTGATTAACTTATTTAAATGGCTTTTTGCCAGGTGATTAACTATATATATATATATATATATATATATATATATATATATATATATATATATATATATATATATATATATATATATATATATATATATATATTCAAACCTCTTAACAATTTGGTTTCTCAAAGGATGAATGCAAAATTTGCATTTGGAAGATTCGGCCTCCTTTTTCAACCCGCAATTACAAAAACTTGAACCATTTTTGACCACACGTTTCGGGACATAACTTAATGTAGAAGAAGTGACAGGCTTTGTATTATTATAGCCCTTTTCACGAAGCCAAATAAGAGACACATATTCATGCATGAATACCTGTTCCCACCTTGACTGGTAGTTGGTGTTGGTAACCCAATAAGAACATCAGTTATTTGAATAACTAAATTATATAAGTTCTCGACGATTAAGAGATGCCTGCGCAGGAGGATAGTGTCGGTACAATATCTTGCAATTGAAATGTGTTTGGCTTCACGACCTTCCATGGAGTTCAAGGCGAGCCCCATGCCATACCTGACTTCCATCTCCTTTGCATGAACTGGGACAACAAGACCTAAAGTCCAAGCAGTGGGATGATGAGCAAAAAAGAAACAGTTGAGCGTGAAGTAAACTTTATAAGCATGTTGAAGATCAACAAGATCTTTATCTTTAATCTGAATGCGGTTAAAGAGAGTAACACATTTACGCAACATCAGACAAAGATAAGACAAAACATGTAAAGTAAATTCTTGTCTAGAACCATGTTTTTAAAAAGGTTCCATTGCAGCAATTAAGTACATAATATTATGTAAAAATCCCCTCGAATCCTTGCCTGTGAATCGATAATCGAAAGCTTTACCAGCCACTTTCGTCTCGTTAATTAAACCATCTTACAATTCTCTTTGCAAGACGTGAAAGGCCACATTTGGTCTTCATCTCACTTATATACCTTGCTATAGAGGAGTTACTTGGGACTTGAGAAAACAGTTTAATGGAATCAGGTAAATTGGAAATCTCAAAAACTTCTAGCAAAAGGTATCTATGTGCAAGAGCACATGCATTATTCTTTAAATGTAATGGCTCGACATGAGCCTTGTCAATAATATTACAGTACCTAAGGAAGGTTCAAATTCTTGTCTGCTCTTTTTTTGAGCAATAAAAGATGTCATCTTTGATCTCTTAGTGGAATCTGACAAAGGCTGTTTCGACAGCTTTGCCTTTAGCTTTTCGACTTCATTTACAACCTTCAACCTGGCACTATACATCCAAGGTTTCCAAGTGTTTTCAATGCCTCTGCCAAGGGTGGCTTGGGTGTTTTTTGCATCATCACTTGAAACGTTGGCAAAAGATGAGAAATATTTGGCACTATTGCTCAACTCCCCGCTGAGAAACGCTAACATTTTCATATCATTGGGGAGTTCAGTGAAAGAAAATTTAACATTCACTTGTTGGCCATTGCGGAGAACATGTCATTACACTTTTTTCAATATCCCGAGTATCAGCCAAGAGCGTTTTAATAAATCTCTGGACAACAATACAGCTCTCGCTACAATTTGCCCCGAAAAGCAGGTAGTTCTCGTTACTATATTTAACACACCTCTACCAATATTTAACAGACTGATTAACCAAGCACATGCCGTATCATCCTTGCCGAATGGTGCTCCATCCCCTCCTACAGCTACAGAAAATGTGTATGGTTCCTCAAACCATGTGATGCAATGCCCAGTACAACCTGAGAGATAAAAATCTGCAAGTTTAATTAACATTTCCTTCAGGTTACGATAGCACCCAGTTACTTTATCACATTCATCTAAACCATAGCACAGTGTGTCAGTAACGCTATTGATTGTACCCAAAGATATGGACTTAATGTAGGGCATTATGCGGTCATATGGCACTAAGCGAGGTAAATGGCAGCTATCTATTGCTAGGCGTTCATTTTTAGTTTTATCCTTGTTTAGCCTATAACAACTATACTTATAGTCACTATATATATATCCCTACTATAATATACAGCAACACTTCTAATTAAATTATCTTCAGAGGCCTCATAGGTCTTCAGTGATTTTTTATATATGATAGGCATTACTGATTTAGTAAACTTCTTACCGGAGGACATTGCAGTTACTAAAATGTCTTTTGAACATTTCACCAAAGCAGTATCTATAATTCCTACTTCCGCAGCTACAGATATTTTATTCTGTCCCCCATGAATTTGCCTGGCTGCCTCGAATGTACTTTTTCTACGCTGCCTGGCTCATTAATAATGAGCTCGTGCAAATTTTCCCTTCCACATTAAATAATGTGGGAGCTCTTCCTCTTGATGCAATTGCTGGATTATTCTGGTTAGCTGTATTACCTTACTGGTCTGTACTGTCTGGTTGAACAAGTTCGTTTTGAATATCGTTTAAATCTTCAATAGCTTTCACCAAACTTCCTACCTATTTCGAAAAGGAGCAACAAAATATTTCACATATTCACATTCACCTCATAACGTTTTACGGCAGAGCAAAATCAGGAAGTAGGGTGCATTAGGGCGCATCTCGTTTACACACTAGCTAGTTACATGATGCATTTCAGGTGACGAACAGCTGAGGATGCAACATCGGCTGTCCAGGAGAGATGTTTGCCAAGTCCTTAATATCCCCCCTCCACTCAATATATTTGGTATATGTTTGTCAGGCCTGTTTTATACGTCGAATTTCGGTCATGTCGAATGCAATTCAAACAATAGATAATGAAGCTTAATGAGGTTTATCGTCTCATTATCTATTGTCTTAATTGCATTCGACGCGACCAAAATTTGACGTATAAAACGAGCCTCATTTAGACGAGCTAGTGGGGGTACTGAGCATTATACTAGAGCAATATCCTATGAAATGAGGTCTAACTATGAAACGGGACAATGATTCATAGTATTTTTCTCATAGTACTGTGAAAGGCTATGAATATTTCCATGGTTCATATGGTATTCCTGTGAACGTGCAACGAAAACCCTATGAACTTTTGTAGCTTTTAATTTGGTCTTCACACAATGATGTCATAAATTACCTTGTTATCAAGCCTACGGTGCTTTCCTCTAAACCTGTTAAGTTCCTTCCTTTTCTCTTCCTTGAGTTTAGCAGCGGCAGAAATTTCATCTTGAAGCGATTTTAATTGTCGGTTCTCCAATAAACTTTCTCCCTCAGACGTTTTTGTTCTTTCACATAGGTTGCAACATTAAAACGTGGCATCGCGGCAACCAGTAGAGGGTCAAAACCTGTGGTATTACACGCTACAGCGACCTAATCGTCGAAAACTAAAACGGCAGCCTTCCGAATGAATGTCTCACCGTTCTTCTCGTTTGCTTTTAAATTAGTTTTAGCAAACTCGACCAAAGACAACCTCGCACAATCGGTTTGTGTCGATAAATAATCGGATAGTTGAATATGGAACAGCGAGCAAAGCCCGCCATTTTGATACCAAATATGTTGTTGTTGGGCCATTGATTCAGTTTTTACAGGCTCTGGAATTTCGGTACCTTGATGGAAACTTTCTATTATCATAAAAATGAACATTTTAACCCTCGGGCTATCTTTGGTCCAACCTCATATCCAGGCTCTTTCCACTACGCGCCTCGCTGGAGGAAAGACCCTGGTCCAGGCTGGTCACGTGTCTCCCAGATTTTGGGAGATAACAATTGGGACTTATGGGGGGTAGCGAAGGCAAATATGGCGTTCGAGTTCAAAAAAATACAAGGAGTGTGAATAAAGCAACATAAAGGACTACCATGAAACGAAGTTTTTCGTAAAATATGTCATAACGGTTATTGTAAGGGACGAAGTTGTTAATAAGGCCTGGCTGGAGGTTTGAAGTTAAACTCTTAAAAATGTTACTGTAATAGACGATACTTCGATGTTCTCCTCGAAGCTCACTCAACGACACAGTCTCGGGTTTAGTTCTACATATCAACGAGAAAAGGCAGAATCCTCAGAAAATTAGTGTTGAGTGATTTATTCGGCAGAACATTTGTTTGAACCAGAATCATGATTGGATATTAATTGATATTTGTGAGCGATTATAAAATAACCGCTGTTCGCGTAAAGTACTGTGTGGTCGATTTACCGCCAATTTTGTTGAACTAAACATGTTCAATGAAGAATAAATAAATACATTAATATACACAGACTATTTAGCTCGACATTCTCACTAATCAATCCTATATTTTGGGTGTTTATAGGAGCGTATTTATTTGCAATCGATTGTTTCCCAGTGAAATATGATCAATGTTTACATAAAATTGTATACTGGGCTCTTGCTTTAGCTGGGTGAAAGCTTTGTATTCTGTTTTAGAATTTCTTTTAAAACTTTTAGCATGTTACGACAGATAAGGCATACAAGTAAGGCCCAATATATTTCTAAAGATTGTACCTTCAGATACGCGCAGTCAAATTTAAATTAACGGAATTTATCTGACAAACACCTGGTCTGGATGTTTGTTTATATAAGGAGTCAAACGGCTGAGTCAAATCATAGTCAAATTTGCAGCATTTTCGCTTAAAACTTTTTCGCTTCATATTTTGTTTCTTATATCAAAAGAATACATTATACACACAGTTTTAAAATAGCAAGTTTATTTACTATCTATTGTCTTATATAGCTTTTTTTCCTTTGCCCGCCGTTTGTCCTTTAACGTATGATCCACTGAGTACTGTCTTATTGCTGATATATAATCTGATATATAATCCACTGAGTACTGTCTTATTGAAACAAGAGAAAAAAGACATACTATCGATACTCATGCGCACAATAAAATATAATATATTTTCTTACTGTTATTTCTATAATGCATGTGTCGATGTTATCGAGCCGTTCCACTTTATATGGTTAAAATGTACTGCAATTTACAGTAGATTCGCTGTCGGCTGCTAGGCAAATATTATAATCTTTGCTTGTCCTTGAGTATATTACAAATCCTTTCATAGTAATTCTTTGCGGTTTTCCCAATATGAAACTGGAAGACTACAGTATGTAGATCTTGCGTAAAGCGACGTCGCAAATGCAATCCACACAGAATACATATACAAAGACATCTCACCCATTGATTTTGCAACACAAACTCTTGCTATTCATTACAATTACATGCATTTGTTAAAATACACACGCTCTGAACTTTATCGAATTGATATCGGCAACTAGATCGGTAAAAAAAAAACTTAGCCCCCCACCCTTATGTAAAAATTTTGTTATCTCCCAAAATCTGGGAGACACGTGACCAGCCTGGACCAGGGTCTTTCCTCCAGCGAGGCGCGTAGTGGTAAGAGCCTGGGTATGAGGTTGGACCAAAGATAGCCCGAGGGTTGAAATGTTCATTTTTATGATAATAGAAAGTTTCCATCAAGGTACCGAAATTCCAGAGCCTGTAAAAACTGAATCAATGCCCCAACAACAACATATTTGGTATCAAAATGGCGGGCTTTGCTCGCTGTTCCATACTCAACTATCCGATTATTTATCGACACAAACCGATTGCTCTACGAAGCCATCAAACGGCGAATAAAAACCAGTGATAAAAACCTGATTGTGGTTCGTTCTTAGTCTCCCAGTTTTAGAGCGCGCGTTCGGAAAAAAAGCTACACACAAGGTTCTGGCGAATTTGCTATCACGCGTGCCCGGCGTGACGGGTGAAAACATATTCATTTCACAGATCTAAGGCTGGTATACTTTAATTTAAGGTATATTATAATTAGTTGCGGTAGTAATCATGTGTTTATAAAATGCTCCGCCGTTAGCCGTCCGCGGTCCGTGGTCCGCCGTCCGCGGCCCGCCGTCCGTCCACCTTTTATCTACACCCCTCTCAATTCACCTTGAGCTACCTCAGTGGTTATATAACGACATAACTAACACCACTTAACCTAAAAGGATTTACAATTGAATATCAGGGGCCGGTTGTTCAAAAGCTGGTTAACTTTAACCCAGGGTTAGTTAAAATCCTTAACCCAGGGTTAGTTAACCCCTTAGTTAAAACCGCGTTGTTCAATGGTTGAATTGGAGGTGCGGTTAGTTAACC